AAAATATCTCGTCCTGCATGCGAAATTAGCCACGTTTGTTTGCGTTGTTTTGTCGCGTTGATGTTTCTACGTCACATCTCGCCCCAACTCCTTCAAATACTACTCCCGGTCATTTTTTGAATCGAGTAATGGCGGCAAGACATTTACGAAAATTGCCGTGCAAATAAACACACTTCCAGATCATATTTGGACTCCAAACTTGGCACGGTAAGTCACTTTTACATACATTTTCGAAATATGTAATCAAAAACAAATTCCCAAATTTGATCGTAGTAGCACTTTAAAGGAAAACCTTGTTTGATGACTATATACAGCGAATGCTTTGTAAAATCATGGGATATGACAAGTATGTTCAGGACAAAGACCTCCTTATTGTAGATGCCCTGAGCAGATCTCAACCGACCAACTAGAGCCGAAGCAAGATGGAACAAGAGATGGAAACGACCAGACTGGTTCACGAAGATCAAAGCTTATAACAAGCCACTTAGCCGAAATTTCAGAAGCAACTGAGCAGGATACTGACTTACAGTTTGTAACCCACCATATATCGATTTGCTGGATATTATACAAACGAAACGTTCCTGTCGAAATTTTACCCTATTGGAGCGTTAAATATGAACTGTCATTTAGCGAGGAAATCGTATACAGAAATGATCGCATACTAGTCTTAGCGGCGCTGCATGCGAAAGACCCTGACAACCAACTGAAATTGCGCATATGGGCAAAGGTCCAACCCTTAGGCGTGCCAGAACATCATTATGGTGACCAGAGATGAATAAGCAACTGATGCAGTTCATTGATACATGTGAAGTCTGCAACGCTTTCCAGACTACGAACCAAGTTACAGACCCAGGTCAAAAGTTGGGTCTGATATTTTTGAGTGGATCAAGGAACACTATCTGGTTATAGTTGACTATTATGCACATGTCATTGCCTTGCCCCAGGGGTAGAACCCGGGCCTGGCAAAGCACGGGAATGTGTCGGGGAATCCTTCTCAACCTTTATGAAATCTACTGATTTCTCGCAACAAATCGCAGAAACAGCGAGAAAGCGTGCCCAGCATAGTAATCATTTGTGACTCGAGCGCTATGGTTATGTTGAAGTACTGTTCCTGTTGCCGATAAAATGAAAACTAAGGAAATACAATGAGTAACTGTAGTACTTAATAAATGTAAATGAATAAACATAAATAGTGGTAGGTAGGAAACTAATTGAAACTAATTATAAAGCATCACAAGGCAGATTATTACAAGTCCTATCACGGTAGTCTACAGGCAAAAAAAAACATTACCAGTCTCTTGCTAATAATAACCTTCGTGAACTTGTCTTCGGGTGCTATTTTATTGTACTGATTTTTATTGAAATATTAATGTATTATATTTCATTTCGCCGCTCCTAAAACGAATGAATAAAATTTGATCCCCAACTCGTCATAGACGGGTGCGTCACTGGGGTGCGTAGCTGGCGGGATCAGAGTGTGGGATTGCCTTTTAGGGAAGTGAGCTGCAAGGTGTTTCAGCGTCCATTATTCTCGTGTGTTAAATCCACGGGTGTTTTTGACGTCTTTTTCAACAATCGCACGCAAGAAATCAAACCAACTACGCAGGCAACAACAAGAGCTATACTATCATAAAAAATGTCGTTTAAATCCCAGTTAGATGACGTAAATGTTCGTATCGGGGGAATATTAGTTGAGAAGCACTTGACCGAGGGGACTTTGCTATGTTAAATTTCCCCACCCCTGGGGCAAATCAAATTATCGACTTTGCTCCACCCATTTTACAATCCCTTTGGTTGGCCTGGGGTTTACCCCTGGAGCAAGCCGATGACACCAGTGCATAACAGTGACTGGATTGAATTTGATTTGACGAAAAACCAAACTGAAGGTGAAACCACTGATCTGATGCAAAAACAGTTTGCGAGTTGGGAATTCCTAAAGTGTCGCAACATGCAGTCTGTGTCATTTCCGACTCAGTTGAATTCCCACAATTCTGCGCGCCAAAGAAAGAAGATTAAACATTCAAAATCTTCAGCTACAGTAATTACCACCAAAATGAAAGTAATGGAAAAGCTGAATCCGCTGTGAAGATTGTTAAGACTGCTGAGGAAAATCTGAGAAAAAAAACACTGAGTCCGTATGAAGCATAACTTGACCAGCACAACACACCTACGGCTGGCATGACAACATCTACCGCACAAACGTTGATAAACGGTCGAACAAGAATTGAAATACCCATGAGAGCAACACTGCTGACAGCGGAGATTGCGGAAAAAGTGCTAGCAGAGAAAACTAAAAGAAACCAGAAGCCTCAAGGTTATTATGACCAGACTGCCAAAGATTTAAATGAGGTAAGCCTGGAAATACCGTTATAGTCAAGCCTAAAGGTCTACTGAGAGGACAAGGATGGAAGAAAGAAACTGTCTTAGTCACAGAATTGCGGATACCGTTCATACGATGTTAATGTGCCTCGATGGTAAACTATCTGCAAGAAACCGTGTTGAGACCACAAAGGCTATATACAGAACCTGCTCAATGCGCTAAGATAGAACTAAATACCGTTAAACGAACACGTTCGGGGAGCTTAGTGAAAATGCCGCAAAGATAATCTAACAGAACGTAACATTGAAAATTTACTGGAGATCGGTGTTAGCAGGTGCACCATATTGCGATGCTTCATGGGATGTCCGTGGAGATACAACCTTTCGTAATGGCGTTGAGTTGAGTTTACTGTTCGTGTCTGTTAAGATTGGTCTTGCAAAACACTGATAAACAGAAAAGTTGTTCAACGACGAAATCACTCTGCATATTATTGTTAATTCCTCAAAGGAACTTTAACTGTAAAGCGTAAGCATGCCTTTAAGGAATGATAATTTGACTTCTTCGGTGGTAGTTGTGTTGAAGTATTAGTCAGTTGTAAAGAGATTTTGTTTCGAATAGAATTCCGTTGCTCATTACGCTACACGAAATATTTACTCACTGATAGTGCAAATTTGGTTCCAAAAAGTGCAAACTAAGGTTAAATAAAGGGCAAAGATGGTAAATACCGCATTTGCCCTCAAATTTACAACCCCGCGTAAACTGGCAAGCAAATGCGGCATTTACCATCTTTGCTTTTGATTTCCCCCTAGTTTGCACTTTTTTGCACCATATTTTGCACCGAGTAAATTTTTGTAAATCCAATTTTTCGTGCAGTGAATTATCATTAAAATGGGAAGAGAATTATTTCCTGTTCCACTTTGTTACTTCGTTTTGCAGAGTACTCCAATAACATAAACCAAAAAAAGAACGAGATAAATAAGAAGGAGCAAAGTGCCAGGAAATTATTGGATGAATTTGTCAGAGAGATTGACGTCAGTTGTCAACAAGGTAGGGAGAGGAACATCCTCGGAGAACAAGGACAGCTACTCACTTGTTGTAAACATTTGCTGCTACTCGGTCTTCGAGGATGGGAGAAGGACTCAAATAAGCAAAGACGAGGGTTTGCAAGACACGTATTTCTAGTTAATTTAATCATAACAACCATACGAAGGGAACTGCCTGGCTTCTTTGAAAGAGCGCATTTTTAACATTTTGGCATCTTTAATATTTTTGCTTATGTAATCGACTTGCAAGCCATAAAAAAAAGCTAAATTGAGAAGTTGAAATTATAGCTTAGTACATGCAGTTGTATATCTTTCGAAGGAGCAAGAGACATGGGTTCCTTCTCAAACAATGCACTGGGTTAAGTTAGAGGCCAACTGAACATGTCCTGGTGCAGAAGGGACAAAGCGGTATCATCTTCAGTCGTAAATGTTTCAAAGGGCTTATTCACAGCACATTCAGGTGCGAATTACCGCTCTACATGAAGGATTTTCGAGGTGGAAAAAGCTTTACTACGATTCGCTCAAGGAAGATCAACTTTAATTTAAGATTTTCACAATCCCTTGCTGAAATACATTATTGAAACTTGTATAGTAAAAAGATAATAGTGTTAGGTTTTCACCTCAATGTAAGAACTGTAAAGTTTTTCTTTGCTTCAGATCGAGTTATCATTCACCCCATGTAAGGGAATCCAGGGCAGTCTTGGATTCTGGAATCCACGCTGAGGATTCCGGATTCCAGGTACTGGATTCCCGTATTTGTCAGTGGAACTTGGATTCTGGATTCCAATCGTTAGTAATATTCCGGATTCCTTGGGCTGTATTCCGGATTCCATAAGCAAAATTTTCTGGGATTCGGGAATCCGGATTCCCTTACATGGGGCGATATCATTATTCCTTTTTTTAACTCTTAATGTGTTGAATCCGATGTTCTCTTCGTTTTACGTAGCTCGTGAGTATTACAGGTTCTCACAACGAGGATGAGCCCATTTTAGATGTATTTCTAACCAGTTTGGAAAACTAAATTCTGTTTTGCATGTTTAAGCCTCGACGTATGCATCCTATGTGTAAACCCTGCTCCGCGGTGCCTGGTGTTAAAAATTGCGCTTCAATGTTAGGCCCCGTTTTTAAGGAGAAAAGGTCCCGGAAAAGTGGGTCGCTCTTCCAAACGCGTCAACAATGCTCGCGTGCGTGCTCTTATTGCCTAAAACACCCGGCTCGCGCATGCTCTGATTGTCTCGCCTTGACCAAGTTGACCTGTCTCGGCGAGCCAAGGTATTTTTATGGAGGAAAGTTGGCCCGGTTAGGTGGGCGACCCTGTCATCGAAAAAGGGTGAGACAACAAGCGCGGCGAGTAGACCCTTCTATCCGAGCCAACTTTTGTTTGCCAGATTAACGGTTTACCAAGTTTTATAACGAGATGGACTCGGGACGTCGGAACGTTGGCTCGAACCCAGGGTACCTCGGGTGGGCGACTGACTCTTCTACACGGAACAACTTTTCTCAATATAAACGGGACCTTAAGTTCGTATGCCTTTAAGAAGTACGTTGAATCGATTAAGCATAAAAAGACCGACTTATAACATTAAGATTCATTTTTTCTTCTCAACTTAGAAATAACATGTAACTTTGATGTATCAATGTGCGGTTTCGAGCGAGAGAGCAAAGATGGGACGCTTGACTGGACTCGACACAGGAGAAGCCCATCTTCCAGTAAAGGACCTTCCGTGGATCACACCACTGGAAACATGACAGGTGAACTCTAAACTAATTAAGTTACAGCTAGCCAGAGTTACTATTAGCAGCGACAGTTACGGTTATAGAACCTTTCCCGCATTACGCTCCAGTGAACAAACACAAAGAAATGAGGACGAGGCTCGGGTGGACAGTTTCATACAAATCATTGTATTTTGTCCACCCGAGCCTCGAGTTGGTGCCTTTGTTCACTGGAATGCGGGAAAGGTCTTTTAGAGCATCCAGTGATCAAATTGCAGACAAAAAGAATTAAACCAAAATTGTTTTTTTTAGGTTTCATATCTAAATCCGAATTTTGCACTATCCTGGGTTATCTTTGCCTAGCCTTGAGTAATCCAGCCCAAATCCACCTTTTTTTCTTATTCTGAAAGCAACGTTAATATTTACCCCCCCCCCCCCACCCCCCTTTAAAAAAATAGAAACTTCCCTCTACATTGGAGTCACCCAAGAGAGAACAATGGGACATTATTCTTTCTTGAGTCAACACAATGCAAAACGATAATAACAGTTAGAACAATAAAATCAATCAATCAACCAAGCCCTTTTATTAAACTGACACTGAAGAATGAATTGCTACACCTGCCTGCCTTTTAAATAATATTAGGGTTTTTATTTATTTTATTTTCATACCTTATCTCCATAAAGAGCGTTTTCACTCACGTGGTCGTTAGCTGTTCAAATATATTACGAAAAAAGAAAGCGTTTACACCAACATAGCCGTTGTGACGTCATGTGAACGGCTTTATAGCATTGGCGGATCTAGGGCCAGAGAGGGGCTCGGGAGAGGCCAGGGGCCCCTCCTTACTTTTTAGGTACGACTAAGGCCCGTTGGGCCAAGAAAAATTACCCTCGAGACTGGCTACCCTTATTATTAGGGTCCGGTTGAGCCAAACAGCCCCCCACCCCTCACCACTTACTTGATGAACTGAATCCTATTTGCTCCTGCTCTGCAATATCCAGTTGCATGCAGCACTTCCCGTGGCTCTCAACTCCAGAAAGGAGCCTTAACACTCAAGTTTTTCTTTTTACGAAAGTTTTTTTAAGCTGATCAGTCTACCTTACTCACGTTGCACTTACGAGGTCAGAGAACTGTTTTAGCATTTGAGCGCAAACTTTGAAAAATCTTATTCTCGGTCAACTGAAAAACGTTTTTTAGTAAGCACTGGTGATTTTTCTTCCCGGTATCCGAATCTCTTTGTAAGTTATTACACATTCATTTTCTACAGTTATCTAGTCAACAAGAACTTACAAATGAAAATGAAGAAATGATCGTCGCAGTGAACGCAATTTATGCAGTTGCGTAAAGAAGCCTGAAAAAAATTCAGGACTTCAACGGGGTTTGAACCCGTGACCTCGCAATTACCGGCGCGATGCTCTACCAGCTGAGCTATGAAGCCACTGATGTTCGGAGCAGGTCAATTGTGGGTTCATATGTTCCCGTGAAAAAAAAAATGAGTGTTAATAATATATGAAATAAATCAGTATATGAACTGCGGAAATTGCGAGGTCACGGGTTCAAACCCCGTTGAAGTCCTTCTTTACGCAATTGCATAAATTGCGTTCACTGTGACGATCATTTCTTCATTTTCATTTCATTTCCGCAGTTCATATATGATTTATTTCATATATTAATAACAAGAACTAACAAAATTAGACAGTCGGTCCTCAACTTAAAACTACGGGTTAGTTATAAGTTGCTACCCTCTATCCATCTTTATCTCTTTAAAGGTTATTACATGTACATAGAAGCATCCAGTGCACATCAACCAGGTGATGATGCAAAATTATACAGTCCTCCACTGAAGTTCTTTGGGATTATGTGCCTTGAATTCTATTACTATATGTCTGGTGCAGCTAATGGAAGCCTGAACGTCACCATAAATGAAATAGTAGTGTTCTCTGCGGGTGGTGATAAAGGAGGCATATGGCATAAAGCTAGCATAAATATACCATCTATTGTGGGATTGCATTGGGTAAGCATTAATGAGACCACATCGATATCAAAACCGTCTGAAAACAGTTTTCTCTAAACGCAGTAGGAAGCCAATGATTTTAAGCGGCATAAGGCAGGAATCTTTGACAACATTTTGAGAATTTTCGAGAGTCTAAATTCCACAAATCTTACTTTAGACGGACTTTCTGTATTTATCAGCAAAACAAGTAAAAGTATAATACATCATCTTATCATTAACTATAAATTAAACACATACAAAAGGTAAGTTAGTATATCATTCGAAAGTTCGTAAATGCAAAGGAAAGTATCACTTAGCGCTTCAAAGCGGATGTGCTTGCTGTTTGTCTCAATTATTTAGTTCTTTAAACTTTCCAGTTAGTTTTTCATTTCTGCAATATTAATTTGCCTTTAAATTAAAGTCCATCATAAAAGCGACCCTTCCAAACCGATTACACTGTAATACCATGTTTTTGACAGGTAACATTTGAAGGCGTAGTAGGAAGCAGTATCACTGGTTACATAGCAATTGATGACTTCTTCTTTACAGGAGGGTCTTGTCCTTATCATCATGGTAAGTACTTCGATCAAAAGGTGTCCTTTCGCGTATTTTGAGAAGGAAAAAAGATTTCTTCACAACAATAGAAAAAAATGTGTATTTATTAAGTATTTTATGTTTGCATTGAAACTATTTACGGTTGTCTTTAAAAGAAGTGACAGACGTATTTCGTCGGATGACACTTAAAGGGTGTTTTTTTTTGTAATATGCGCGTATAGCCGTAACATTCTCCCGTTGCAATTTTTCATTGATTTTAAGCTCAAAACTAATTAAAAGAAAACAATTGACCGAGCAGATGCGACGGTTCTGCGCGTTGTACGGAATACTCTCTCCCTTGCCGCAGAGGCCTTTTTGTGTCGTAGGCCGAGGCTGAGGAGAAGGGAAAATGAAAGTGCGGGGAAGGAAGGGGGGGGGGGGGGGAATCGGTCCCTCCTCCCATCGTCTACTGCGTGCTTGCTATTTTTTTTATTTTTTAATTATTATTTTTCACCAGTTGTGTATCCTTTCTCGTGTCGTGAACAGTATAAGTTGAAGTCACTTATTATGTTAGGTATTCATAGGCCAGAATTCGCTCTTTGGCAAAATTTCTGTACAAGGCCTTTTTTGACAACAATGACCGGAGAAATCTTAAACTGAAAACTCGTCAAATTCGTGGCAGGCATCGTAGCTATGTGACGTGAAGAAACTTCTGGGAATTTAATGAGGAAAAAAGGAAAACGTAATTGCTCAAGACCTTGAGCCATCATTATAGCGGGAAAAGCCTTCACACCTGTTGATAATTACTCCCGACGTAGCTACTAAAACCAAATTGAACGTTTTATTAATCGAATTAAATCAAATCGAACTTTAGAGAAGGATACGGTTCGATTAAGTTCGGTAATCGACCACAATCCAACTCTCCCCACACACACAAAAAAAGAAGTAATCGAACCCAAGCGAACTTTGATTGGAATTTGTATATGCTCTGTGATCTTGGGGAGTCGAAGAGCAAATGCTCATCTTCTCGTCAAGTTTAATGTCTGGACGAGTCAAAGGCTCTTGAAATACAATCCCCAAGTTAACCATCGTACTAGTCTGAAAGACTCATGCGTGTCTTAAATTTGGTGAGACCTCTAATCGTGCTGTAGAAAATTTGCGACAAAGAAAACTCTGTACACGACAGCGTACACGCTGCACGCGAGGAATTTGATCCCACCGAACTTCGGCGAGCGCGTGCTTCTTCGGAAACGATAGATCTTCGCAATTACAATTAAAGATGTATAGCATGTCACCCCTTGCAGTTTTTAACTAAAAAAGATTGACGTATCCAAAAGGCTAGAGTGGGCGTTTTCCTCTGTCCAGTTAACCTCTCTTGGTTACTTTTCATTGTGCCCTCTAATCAACAGGGAAACCAAGTTCCCATTTACAATAAAAGCTTTGGTGATTTTATCGGTACTATATTGGCAAACAAAGGTGAAATAAGCGATCATATTGCATAAACAATACGTAGTTAAATGAAATGAAGTTTTTAAAGTACAGTGAATGGTGCATTTCTTACATTTTATAAGAATCAAAGTCTTGAAACTGGGTGAAATACATAGCAATTATTACTAATTAATAGTCCAGGCATTTTACGAAAATAAATAGGTCAACCTGTCACTAATTGCAAAAGAAGGTCTCTTAACGGTTTTTGACTCAGCAAGATGTCCTCTACAACATATCAAAAGTCCCTGGAAATCCCTGTAGGGGAAGTTGCCAAAAACGGGTTTTACTAGAACCCCATGTCTCCCCTAAAGCACAACATGGAAACGAGGCTGGATGTAGTGTCTGCCTTTTGCGCGAGTTATGTGCTTCATACCAATATAAACTAGACAAGTATAGATTGAAAGATTTTGTTGAAGTTACTGCCCGAGAAAGTCTAATAAAGTGTATGTCGCGTAAAATAACCGCATATATAATACTGTACTATAATACTGTACTGTATTGTACTGTCAAAAATTACATAGCTTACAGAAAACACCCATCATGTGGATGGATATTAGGATACGTGCAGTATTTACCACACAACTGTGTCTGCAGCTTTTTGTAACTAGAAAAACGGCAAGAGCCTGTCTACTTTCTGAAAATTTGTTTCCTAATTTTGCTGATTACCTTAAGATTGAATTATAGCAAAAGACACAACAACAACAACAGCATAAGCTTTATTTGCATGACTATAATTATGCAGTTACAGCATTGCAAAAGTTACAATTTATAACAATGATAATGCAATGCAATGATTACTACAGTCAATCAAGTGTCATCTGAATGATTTGAGAACAAATTAGTACGTAAATCATTACATAATGAGACAAATTTCAACAAATGTAAATTTACGGGAAAATTCTGTGAATTCCTCAATTTAATTATTTTATTCTGTGTAAGATAGCTGATTAAAGTCGACAAAATTTTGTTGGATTTGATTGTAGAATTTCTCCCTTGGGATTGAATATTTTGGACAATGGAAGAGAAAATGAAATTCGCTTTCAATTATACCGGAGTTACCAGAATTTCGTTGCGGGAAGTTTGATTATATCTTCCAGTTTCAATTTACTTAATATACGAATTTTCACTAAGTCTTTCCTATTGGCTGAATTTCTAATTGAGTCTAGACAGCTTGAAATTTTATACTCATGTTTAAATAAGCTGTAAAATTGTATTTTCTTAGAATGATGGACTGTATGTTGCCAATATGTAATATATTTTTGTTTTATTATATCTATATAGTGTTTGATCTCAGCTTCACTTAAATTATTAGGATCAAAATCCGGCAGGTCATAATATTCAGATATTTTCATAAGATTTTGGTAAAAGCTATTTTTACCATTACAGTGAAGTTCTAGCGAGGTACGAAAGGCTTGTTTAACAATAGTATCCTCGTTTTTACGCAGAATATACAATATGTAATAAAGGATGTTTTTGTAAATATTTAACAGTTATTCGCAGAAGGCTCAATTAATATTGTTGAATAATTATTCAACAATATTAACAGAGGCTGAGGTGAATAATTGTTTCAGTATATTCACACGAAGTGATCTCAACAAAATCAGAAAGGGAACCATTAAAAAACGATTAGTTTGACTGACGGGTGAATTCAGGCGTGACCATGAAGCTGTAAACAGTGAATGCGCAAAAGTTAGATCTTTACAGTATCTTCAAACATGGCAAATGATAGTTTTAATCTTTTTGTATCGAGTTTTGTAAGATTTAGCATCAACGGTTTAAAAGAAAACGCCGAAAATTTAAATTACTACCCAATTCTGAGAGGAAAAGGAGAGCTTTATTTGTTTCTGTCAACTCACCGTGAATGAGAAAGTATTCTTTGTCGCTTCTTGCAAATGCTGTCAACAGCGGCTACGATCAAGGTGAGCGTTGTTTATCTCCAATGTTCTTTGCCTTGTTAACTTGCTGGCACGTAAAATTTTCGAAAATATTTGCCTTCCTCTTTTCTCCATAAATTAACTTCTATTTATAGGCAAAATTGGTCTTGCGAGAAAATCCGCAACTCACAAAACCGCAGTGGCAAAGCGACCTCGTTTACCGCTGTAGTGGTAAACATAGCTTCGAGCGTACAAAAAGTCAGCTACAGCAAACCAGTTCACAATAAATCACGCTGTTTAAACACCGTGAAGTCTTTTCTTGCCTTCAAAGTCATCAGTACTTGGATATTCTCGTATTTTCAAAAAGGCTTTACTATGAGACTTTGGCAAAACAACCAGTTCACGACAGCGATTTTGTTCGTCTTTATGTTCACCGCCTAGCGCGGTGACTATGACGTCGTAGTTAACAATTATTCCACGAGGGCGCGTTGGATATGAGATCATTTCATATCCAACAAGCTCGAGTGGAATGATTGTTTTATTAAAAACGCCCACAAAATCTCGTTGAATCTCCCCGACTTAATTTTGTTAGAACAAACCGGAAAAGACAAGGGACTTCCGCTATTCACATGTCACACGTCTATCAAAACTGTCAACGCGCGAACGGACTCGCCTGGACTGGATGAATGAAAAATCAAAACATTGTAGCGATGAACACTTTTAAAAACTCATCGAGATTCTAGGATTTTACACAGCAGGACAGCTAAAAAAACCTGGCAGATAATGTGAAGAAAAAGAATTTTTAAGTAACAGCCGTCGAAATTACTATGAATTTGGATTTTCGGTGCAGTTACAAAAGTAAGAACAACGGAGAAAAACTATTACCTCGGTCGCTTCTTATGAAGTTGTTTGAAGCCACCAGCTGTTTTTGCTGAACGAGAAAAGAAGCTATACTGACGCCTCGATTGCTGTAGTGAATGGCTGCATAGCCTGCATTCTGCCTACTTGTGATTTATATACTTCATGTCGGATAAACAAGCCGCAGTTATCTATCGGTGAGAGACTCGGAGAGAGGCTTCGCAATCATGAAGAAACAATACTTGTACATGTCTTCTTTCGTAGCTGGTTAAGGTACTTTAGTTCCATGTATTTTCATGTGTTTTTCGATAAACTTTCAAACAAGCTCTTGTGGCTTTTTCGGCTTTTTTGTTTGTTTGTTATTTTCGCAATGAAATTGCATTTTCTAGTATTCTAAGAAATGAATTAAAACGATTTGCTTCGGGCGCCATTCTAGAAAAAAATCTCAGCTAGCTTCCAATATTAAACTGAAGCGTACACCGACCATATATGGAGAGCATGGTATAATGGCTCATATACCATAATGGCTAAGCCAATCAAAACGCTAGAACTGCATTATCAAATGATTCAGTTTTTAATAATCCTAGATGGCTAACCAATCAGATTGCTTGAATTACCAAGATCACTGAGTGTGTATATACCAATAATAATTAATGGGAATCGTCCTAATTCACTTCTACTTGCAACATTGGAAGCTTTATTGCTTATTTCTAGGTAACGCTTGCAAACTTTCAAGCTTTAAAATCATGTTGTACATATACACCCCAAATTTCGCTATTATATGATAATACTGGGAAAATCATCGCTTCAAATATTCTGCAAGCAAGAGAAGGTTTTAATTTGCTAATTAAAAGTTTGTGTGTTTTCTTAAACTAAAAAGAGTATGAAGAGCCTTCTCTTTCAAGTGTTCGAGTGAGATATTAAAATTACCGGTTGAGGAGATACCAGTTCCTAAATATGTATATCTAGCCGGATTTATGAAAACCGTACCATCGGACTCCTGGAGCCCACACACCTTAAACTGACTCAACTAAAGTAAATATCGCCAAGAAACTCAGCTCTTACCCATGGTTCTCTTAAGATGACTCTCTTCTTGGTTCCTGATTAACAAAAGAAACATTTAAGGCCATCAAAAAGACACTCTGGACTTGGCCATACACTCTAGCTGCTTAAAGGCCCTAAATGACGGAGGATGCTTGAGACTTAACCAAGTAATAAGCAGAGAATTCAAGGTTAAATCGCACGTGCTTGAGGGGAATGCTTTCATTGGCCAATGGGCCTCAAACATTACAAGAATTTGACATGACAAACTAAAGGCAGACATGACCAGTGCACTGACTTTCCCAGAGCAAGAGTGACGGAAGGTACCACGCTTTTGCAGCACCCTCCGCCCGCTAGGGATTGACATGGACGCCCCTTTCCAACCCATGGCGAGTTAGCTCAGGGACTGAGCTTGACAATGAGACCAACCAGGAGAGCAAGCCCCCCATGTTTTTTCTCACCGCAGTGACCAGAAACCTGGCTATCGCCAGGTTCCTGTGCGAATATTCTGGCCCGTTTTGAGGTATGTTTTCAAAAATTCGGCTAGATATTCACGGACAATATCAATGGTTTCATTACCTATATGGAATTCTAGATTGGAGTTTTTCTTCGCTCGTTTTTGAAAGATCATAACTTTGGTCTTTTTGGAATTTATATCTAACATCCAAGAGTTGCAAAAAGAGGATAGGGTGTTGAGACAGTTCTGTAATCCTATTTTAGATCGTGATGTAATAATTAAATCATCAGCATAAAAAGGCGAATTTAATTTGGTACCATTTGGAAGCATGATGGGGTCTGATAAAGTATTTTGAAATGCAGACGGTAAGTCATTCACGTATTGAAAAGCACAAATACAGCCCTGGCGTACGCCTCGTGAATAGCTAAAAGATCTTGTTTGACTCGTACCTATTTTCAATGCACACGAAGAGTTTGAATATGAGTTTTTGATTAACTTATAGAAACATCCCCCTACACCAATTTGTAATAATCTATATAAAAGTCCGTCGTGCCAGACTGATTCAAAGGCTTTTCTAAAGTCAACAAAACAAGCGTATACTTTTTCACCGTGACTGTAGGTAATTGTCTATAACTCGGAGTTCGTAATGGTAGGAGGTGGTCTGATGTTCGATTTTTCGTTAAGAAGCCGATTTGAGACTTGTGGAGTATGTTCAGCGAAGTGACGTGTTCAAGGAGTGTTTGGTTTAAAATTGAAAAGAACAACTTTCCTAGACAACTAGAAACACAAATCTCGCGGTAATTTGAAGGGTCATTTCTTACGCCAGATTTAAATATGGGAGTTATAAGACCGTTGCACCAATTTTTAGGCATTGTTCCTAAGTTAAGAACAGTATTAAAAAGTTTATGGTAAACAGGTAGCAGTGTTGGTAAGCTAGCTTTTAATCATTTCGTTTCTTATTTTGTCGGAGTATGCAGATTTGTTATTCTTTAATTTTCTTGCTGCCTTACTTATTTCAGCTTCTGTTATGAAGTAGTCTAGAGGTCGTGATTGCATTAAGATGTCTTCTCGTGTTCTTAACTCATTAACAACGTTCTGTTGGCCGGTCGTAAGTAAGTGGTTATTAGAATGCAGCCACTGGAAATAATTCAACCAATTCTCTTCTGCGATTGGTGGAGTGTCTTTGTATTTTATAGAGTCATCCAATGATTTTAAGCAATTCCAAAATTTTTTAGTATCCAAATTGTACGTTATATCCTCTAATTCTGAAAGTTTATTGTTGTAATATTCATTTCTTTTATGTGTGAGTAAATATATGTTATTCACCAGCTGGGAGGTCCGTATTGGGAGAAACTGTGCCCGAGGTCTTGAGTACCGGTACTCAGACCGAGCAGACTCGTACCCAGTCGCTATTTAAGTATTTTTTGGGATGAGACCCCGCGCGCGCCACAACCTAATCTCCAATCTTCTCTCATCCCAAAAAATACTTAAATAGCGACTGGGTACGAGTCTGCAGAGCGAGGGCACAGTTTCTCCCAATACGAACCGATCTAGGCTGGTGAATAATATTTTTATTTTCTTCCTAGTGAGATTTAAAAGTTTCAGGAAAATTTTACTTCAGCCTCCATCCTATGTGTGTTGAAGAGGGGCGCGTTCGTGTTGATGTTATTCAAAGCGCGCGATCGATTGCAAACCAAAACAAAACATTACGACATTATTTTTATCTTGTAATTTATAAAATCACAATTAAGCTCTCTTTAGAATAAAGAAAGGTTTTTGTGTCTTGGTAGACATTTCATAATCTGAGTGTCAACCAAGGATAACAGAATTGACGAACTTAAAAGCCACAGGAAAGAAAATACACAATACATCAAAAATTTTCTTCGGCTGAATATTTACTTTACGATTAACTCAATCGAGCGGGATAAAAACTGCACAAAGACTTTATAAAAAGAGCTAATTACACATACCAATCTTAGGGTTTTGAAGTGAATTCGAATAAAAGAAGGCGATGTGGGTAACTAAACAATTATATAAACAAAGAAATAAAAACGGCGAAAACTGACTGCTGGAAAAGTTGTTCGTGTTATTTATTCAAGATTGAAAGCTACATGCAATCGTTGACAACAACCTTTTCTGAAAAGCAGAAAACTAGCGAGGCAAAAATCAATGAAAAACGGCAGAATCTAGATTCAGACAGCAAAAAATGGAAAACAAATCTACAAACAGAGGAAAAATGTCGAATAAACGATGCATAAGAGCAAGATTGCAGTACTTACAGCGTTGTTATAAAGCTAGTGAAGCGACTTCACAAGTCGCCTGTTTTGCTTTACTTTAGCGATTTTTCTGGCTGACTTGCTTGATTCTCCCTTCAGATGTTTTGTCTGAATAACAAAATTCACTTTTTCCTAGCTAACACTAATAATAGCGCAAGTTAAAAAAAAAAATTGTTAAAAATCACCGGTTTTGCTCATTCACTAACCTGAGATCAGGCTCTATTTTCGTTTCGCTTTGTAATAACATTCCGGCGGGTAAGGCGAAACGAAATTTCAGCGGTAGCCGTTAGAGAGAATGTATGAGAACCGCTCAAATTGGGCCTGATCTCAGGTTACTCATTCACAAACAACAAACAAACTTGTGAATAAAGCTGCCAACGATTCCGCCCGGGTTAGCGGGCAAGATCGTAAAAAACTGCCCGCTCCTGGAACCAATCAGATTGCAGGACTTAGAGGATTCCGCCCGCTCGCAAGCTCAGAAAAAAATAATATAATTTCTTCATACTGCTGTAAAACAATTATATGATATTTTTCACGTAGAGTGGTATTTAAGGGATGACAATATCATTTGACAATTTCCTTAATTCGTGTGTTTTTAAGCGACATTCCCTATCAAATCAATTTTTATTAGAGCGGGAATAGGTGCGTTTATGTCGTCTCGTCGTTCTTATCTTTAGGCACCGTTTTGCCGTTGTGATCAGAATATTTTCTACCTGCTCCGTGGAAGTGTTAACATTGTTAGCTGAATTTATGTCACTTAAATATTCTTGAATTATCATTTGCAAATTTGGAGACTGAAGAGCTGCTTTGAATTTTGGTTTAGAGTCGCTTTCCCACAAAAAATTGTTTTGGTAATCGTGTTAAAGTATCACTCTTTCGTGAAGTATCTTGATTACGAATATCGGTGTCAGTACTTAACTAGGTCATCAGCGGACTATGATCCGATAAATACCTGGGCTCTTTAACAATAAAGTTTAGGATGTGTGAAAATAATGTTTGATCACACATGACAAAATCAACGACACTTATTCCAGCCTTTCCATAAAATGTGGCTCTCCCTAAGGAGTCTCCACTAACTCTAGCGTTAAGTATTCTAAGATCTGCGTTTCTGCAGATTTCAAGAAGGCGTTTGCCGAGTGACCCTTCTACCCCGGACAAGTTTTTTTTTTTTTCCGAATAGACAAGGCCTTAGGATCGTAAGGAGTAAGTTGAATAGAATAGGCAGAAAACGGCCAATGTAACATCAAGATTCATTTCGTCTTCTCAACTTAGAAATAACATGCAACTTTGATGTATCAGAGTGCGGTTTCGAGCAAGGCAAAGATGAGAGGCTTAGGTGGACTCACAGGGGAATGACAAGTTCTTCCGGTAAAGGACCTTCCTCTGATCACACCACTGGAACCACAACAGGTGAACTCTAAACTAATTGCAGCTTGCCAGAATTTATCTATTAGCAGAGACAGTAACGGTTATTTAGAGCATCCAGTCATCAAATTGTTAGACAAAAAGAATTAAACTAATTTTTATTTTTTAAAGCCTTCATATCTAAATCCGAATTTTCACTATCCTGGGTTATCTTCACCCAGCGTTGAGCAATCCAGCCCAAGTGTATTAAATATAGGCAAGAATATCCACTTTCCTTTCTTATTCTGGAAGCAACATTAATATTTTAACTCCCAGTACCCCCCCTAAAAAAAATAGAGACTTCCCTCTATATTTGAGTCACCCAAGAGAGAATAACGGAACATTATTCTTTCTTGAGTCAGCAAAGTGCAAGACGATAATAACAGTTAGAATAATAAAATCAATTAATCAATCAACCGAGCGCTTATTACTAAACTGACACTGAAAAATGAATTACTACACCTGCTTGCCTTTTAAATTAAATTAGGGATTTTGTTTATTCTTTTTTCATACCTTATCTCCATATAGAGCGTTTTCACTAACGTGGTCGTTAGCTATTCAAATTTATTACGAAACAAGAAAGCGTTTACACCAACATAGACGGTGTGACGTCATGTCAAAAGCTTTATAGCATTGGCGGATCTAGGGCCAAAGAGGGGCTCGGGAGAGGCCAGGGCCCCCTCCTTATTCTTTAGGCACGAGTGAGGCACGTAGGGCCAAGAAAATTATCCTCGAGACCGGCTACCCTTATTCTTAGGGTCTGGATGAGGCCAATCACCCCCCTCCCCCCCGTCACCCCCACTTACTGCGCGCTATACAATATCCAGTTGCATGTAGCACCTCCCATGGATCTTAACTCCAGAAAGGAGCCTTAACACTTAACACTTTTTCTTTGACAGAAGACTTTTTAAGTTGATCATTCTACCTCACTTACGTTTCACTTACGAGGTCATAGAACTGTTTTTGATTAGAAGTTGCATGCAAATCTTTAAAAAATCTTATTCTAGGTCTACTGAAAACCTCTTTTAGTAAGCACTCGTTATTTTTCTTTCCTGTATCCGTATCTCTTTGTAAGTTATTACACATTCATTTTTTACAGTTATCTAGTCAACAAGAACTTACAAAATTGGACAGTCGGTCCTCAACTTAAAACTACGAGTTAGTTATAAGTTGTTACCCTCTATCCATCTTTATCTCTTTAAAGGTTATTACATGTACATAGAAGCATCCAGTCCACATCAACCAGGTGATGATGCAAAATTGTACAGTCCTCCACTGAAGGTCTTTGGGATTATGTGCCTTGAATTCTATTACTATATGGCTGGTGCTGTTAATGGAAGCCTGAACGTCACCATAAATGAAACAGTAGTGTTCTCTGCGAGTGGTGATAAAGAAGACATATGGCATAAAGCTAGTATAAATATATCATCTATTGTGGGATTACATCGGGTAAGCCATCAAAACCATCTGAAAACGGTTTTCTCCAAACGCAGAAGGAAGCCCTTGATTTTAAGCTGCATAGGGCAGGAATCTTTGACAACCTTTTGAGAATTTCGAGAGTCTAAATTCCACAAATCTTACTTTAGACGGACTTTCTGTATTTATCAGCAAAACAAGTAAAACTATAATACTTCATCTTATCATTAACTATCAATTAAACACATACAAAATGTAATTTATATATCACTCTAAAGTTCGTAAATGCAAAGAAAAATATCACTCAGCGTTTCAAAGCGGATGTGTTTGCTGTTTGTTTCAATTATTTACTTCTTTAAACTTTCCAGTTAATTTTTCATCTCTGCAATATTAATTTGTCTTTAAAGTCCATCATTAAAGCGACCCTTCTAGACTGATTACACTGTAATACCATGTTTTTGACAGGTAACATTTGAAGGCGTAGTAGGAAGCAGCATCACTGGTTACATAGCAATTGATGACTTCTCTTTTACAGGGGGGTCTTGTCCTTATGGTAAGTACTTCGATCAAAGGGTGTACTTTCACGTATTTTGAGAAGGAAAAAAGATTTCTTCACAACAATGGATAAAAAATATGTATTTGTTACGAAGTATTTTATACTTGCATTCAAACTATTTACGGTTGTCTTTAAAAGAAGTGACAGAAGTATTTCCTCGGATGACACTTAAAGGGTGGATTTATTTGTATTATTATACGCGTATAGCAGTAGCATTCTCTCGTTGATTTTAAGCTCAAAACCAATTAAAAGAAAATAATTGAACGAGTAGATGCGACGGCTATACGCGTTGTACGGAATACTCTCTCCCTTTCCGCAGAGGCCTGTTTGTGTCCTAGGCTGAGGCTGGGGAGAAGGGAAAATTAAAGTGCAAGGGGAGGGGGGGGGCGGGGGGTAAGGAAAGCAGTCCCTCCTCCCATCGTCCACTGAGTGCTTGCTGTTTTTTTTTTTTATTATTTTTTAATTATTATTTTTGACCAGTTGAGTATCCTTTCTCGTGTCGTGAACAGTATAAGTTGAAGTCAGTTATTATGCTAGGTATTCATAGGCCATAATTCGCTCGTTGGAACTTTATCTTTGCAAAAACAATTTCTGTGCAAGGTCTTTTTTGACAACAATGACCGGAGAAATGTTAAACTGAAAACTCGTCAAATTCGAGGAGGGCGTCGTAGCTATGTGACGTGAAGATACGTCTGGGAATTAAATGACGAAAAAAAGAAAACTTAATTGCTCAAGATCTCGAGCCATCATTATAGCGGGAAAAGCCTTCACACCTGTTTATGATTACTCCCGACGTAGCTACTCGAACCAAATCGAACGTTTTATAAATCGAACTAAATCAAATCGAGCTTAATAGAACGATACGGTTCGATTAAGTTCGGTAATCGACCACAATCGAACTCTCCAAACAAAAAAAAGAAGTAATCGAACCCAACCGAACTTTGATTGGAATTTGTATATGCCCTGCGATCTTGTGGATTCGAAGAGCAAATGCTCATCTTCTCGTCAAGTTTAATACCTGGACGAGTCAAAGGCTCTTGAAATACAATCCCCAAGTTAACCATCGTACTAGTCTTAAAGAAGAATCAAAGTCTTGACCTGGGTGAAATACATAGCATTTATTAATAATTAATAGTCCAGGCATTTTACGGAAATAAATAGGTCAACCTGTCACTACAATATATCAAAAGTCCCTGGAAATCCCTGTAGGGGAAGTTGCCAAAAACGGGTTTTACTAGAACCCCATGTCTCCCCAGTCGAGCCACCTTAAAACCGCGAGAAATGGTGATTTTTGTGCTTGACATGAAAAATAACACATGAATAAGCACTATGTAGTCCTTGTAGAAGTTCTGGCTTTTCCGCTTTGAAAATCGGCCAGTTTAGTCACTTTTTTGTATGGGAGGTCACGTTTTGAGGCTATAAATATTTGTTTGGTAAGTCACTTTATTCATGTGTCAGCATATGGATATGTTAGTCTGACTATTAAGGAAGACTCCCTGATTACGTCGTGTGGACGTTCTGGCTTTTCGTCAATTTCTGAAAGTACTCCTTTTCATTTATGTTTGTAAAGCCCGAGGACACGCTCGACTTGGTTTGAAACTCCCGCCTGCAGATTAATGTTTTGAAACGGATCTAAATTTGAATAATTATCTTATACAATGTTTCCTCAATGTTTTTACATGTTACCCAACTCAGGATTTCAAAGAGAAACGTCATACCAAGGGAGAATAATTATCCTCTCTTGCATTTACTTCACTTCCATCGTCTTACAAATAGAAACCGATGCATGGAGTGCACAAACCAATCGAGTAAAAGAGCGCGTCTTTAATATGATATAGGTGGTTTTCATGCAATCTCGGGAGACACAACTAACAATGGTGAAATGAACAAATGCTGGTGGACAAACAAAACGAGCTAATGAGCGATCTTTAGTTTACCGTCCACCAGCATGGCGGCGATGACGTAACGTGAAAACCACCTATGGCGTACATTTGCAGACAAAAATAATTGAAAATAAAAGACAAGTTGAAGTTCAAAAATTAGGCTACCATGTCGAAATTATAAATCTCGTCATATGAATTTGAAATCGCAATGAACGCAGTCGAAATAGCATCATTCGAACTTGAAGTTACTTCGAACAAGTTGAAATTATAAAAAGGGAAAACTGGATGGACATCGCGGTTGTTGAAGTTCAAATCACCATTCCAACTAAAATGCAAATTACATGATTTGAACTTCAATTGACCTTTTCCACTCTAATAAGCCACTTAATCGTCAACAATGCAACCATAATCTTCCGCAAAGTTCCAAATGAAACGTTTAATTTGAACTTAAAGTCACGTCACATGAATATTCGAATTCGAAAAACCAAAATTTCAATTCCAAAGGAAGCGGAAGTAAAAATACACAGGAATCGGAAATGATAAGAGTTTCGCTACACTGTACATACGGGATGTTTGCATAACTGAATTTTGGCGCGAAAAGATTTCCCTTCACTCGAACTCTCTGGTCAATATGGCGGACAATGTGAATGATAAGGGTGACTCTAAGACAATCCAACAGATTGTGAAGGCTGTAGTGGCAAACTTAAACTTTATAAAAGGAGAAGCGTTAAGGCTTCTGAGAACAAATTCTTCTCAATTTACTTTTGAGGAAAACATGAGTAATTTCAAAACACGCCTGCAGAATAGAGATTACCCAGCTAGAATTGTAGAAAAACACCTTTCAGAGATTAAATTCTCCGATAGAGAAATGTCACTAGCGCAGAAAAACAAAACCGCACCTAAGAAAATACTGCCCTTTGTAACACAATACCATCCGGCGTTGCCTAACCTAAAGGACACACTCATGGGAAAATGGCAATTATAGAAAATCAAACCGCAACTGAGAGAAATCTTTAAGGAGCCTCCCATCATCTCATGTCGTAAGGGAAAATCCCTAAAGGACATCCTAGTTAAAGCTAAGCTATGAAGGCTTTTATTCATCCGCGAACTGCGGGAGTCATGTAGGCTTGTCAACACTGTTAGCAGAGTTGACAAAGTTTTCTCGTGAGCATCAAGTCGACGAAATAAAAATTCAGAATTATCATATGATGCTGAGTTTAGATTACTTTCTGATACCTCTAACGGTCTAACCAGTCCAACGAAAAACTCTTCGTTGTTCGGTAGCCATCGAGCAGCCATGACGATGATCACATCAGAGATGAGGAAAGCTCAGGCTCCAAGCCTCCCATTTGTAGACTCGTACCTAGTCGTTACTCTGTTCCTGTGTATTTTTACTTCCGCTTCCTTTGGAATTGAAATTTTGGTTTTTCGAATTCGAATATGTGACGTGACTTTTAGTCCAAATTAAAGGTTTCATTTGCAATTTTGCAGAAGATTATGGTTGCATTGTTGACGATTAAGTGGCTTATTAGAGTGGAGAAGGTGAATTGAGTTCAAATCATGTAATTTGCATTTTAGTTGGAATGGTGATTTGAACTTCAACATCCGCGATGTCGAGTTTTCCCTTTATAGTTTCAACTTGTTCAAAGTAACTTCAAGTTCGAATGATGCTATTTCGACTGCGTTCATTGCGATTTCAAATTCATATGACGTGATTTCGACACGGATAGTCTAATTTTTGAACTTCAAATTGTCTTTTATTTTCAATTATTTTTGTCCGCAAATGTACGCCATAATATGAGCTGCTTTGACCGGTTCAACGAAAGTGAAACGCTACGATGAAACAAAAGGAAGTGTTCCGCTCATTTCTTTTGCTATTTGACAACGCTTTTTTACAGTGTATTGAGAGAAACTGTTTAGCCGTTGCACGCAGTCAGATCAGTCAGATCATTCTAAGTGGTATTCAAACCGTTTCATTGACAGCTAGCGATTCTTTTACGGGAGTAGTCGGCTTTCCGATAGCTTAGTTATTCAATTACTATGCCGCGCATTAAAAAAGTGGGCACTGTAAGTACATGTTGCAAAAGACGATTATAGCATTCTGAGAAATGAATCACTTCTAAAGCCTTTTGAAACAATAGGGAACAAAACTCTCTTGGGGAGAGGGGATGAATTCGTTTCTACTTACCCCTACGTACGGTGACGTCATAACCAAATTTCTCGCATCGACAGTTTTCCACTTTGTCTTAGGTATGGAGCTCCACGCTCGCGCGCGCGGAGGCTCCGCTATTAGTGAGCTTAAGATCCGACGACGGCGAGAGTCTACGACGGCAGACTTGGTCGAGGGGGCTTGGAGTGAGGTCGCCGTCGCAATGGCGCGAAAAATAGCATTAAGAAAGCTCGCGCGACGGCGGGTTGTTGTAGCGCCTTTTCCTGTTGAAGTTTAGAAATAAATACAAGAGCGATGGCTACTTTTAGAAAGGTTCGTGAATTGTTACTGACAAGTTTCGATGATGGCGACATTTCAGAAGATGAATTTTTACTGTTGTATGATGTCAACAGATCTAAAAATCCGGATTTTGCCAACCAGAATTACGAACATTTTGAAGACTTCATCTCGACCTTGGAAACCGATTAAATCGATTCACCATTAAATCAGTTCAGATCTTTCTAACGCAAATCAAAGCGGTCTCAGTCATGTTTGTGTACATGTGTACATGTGCAATATGCCGCCTAATTCAAGCATAAACTAATCGTGATGTTGTCTTTTGAGCAGTTTCGAGAAGCAAGCGTTTCGTGTCTCCACGACGATGCATTTTTTTTGCCTTACTGAAAGCTCTTGATTAAAATTACATTGTAAGAGAAGCCGAGTCAAAAAAAAACGCTATTTCGAGAAAAAATGAGTGACATAATCCATTGGACCTCAATTTAATGCCGAAACAAGTCTACGATATCATAATTGTTAATAAACACATCAATAAACACAAGAAAAAACTTGTAAAACTCACTGGGTTGCTTTCTTTGTCGAATTGACCGAGTCCATGGCGATTAACGAGTCAAACTGTTTAGAGAAGGTAAACAAATTTAACTTAAATACCGTGTTCAAATCGTTTAAGTCGCTTAGAAATTCGACAAAAATGGTCTAGTGAGAATAAACTGTCAACAGTGCTAAAGAATTTCGCTCAAAATGTGTTTAAATGGCATTATTTTGATCAAGTTTACTCACGTTTTACACGCGACGGCAAAATGGCCTTCTTCACGTCACAGACAAGGCCGCTACGGCGGGAAACTTCGCAATGACGGTAGCCGGAAGTCTTTCTAGCAGTAATTTCACTTCCGCTCGCCGTTACAGACGTCTGCCGTCGTCGGATCTTAAGCAGGCTATTAACTGAGATTTACCGACAACCGGCATATATCGAAAATGTTAACCAACTACCGACAAAGTAACTGACAACCGAGGGGTGGACCCCCCCCCCCCATTCATACCTTCTTAAAAACATGTCAACAACGGACAGAGGTTTCTGACAGATCCCCTCGACCGGGGCTGACAATTAAGATGACAAATGCCCGACAAATGCCCGGGGGGGAATGGACACGCTTGGAATTGATTGAGCCATTAACTTAAAATGCCATAAGAAATAGCGAAACTGAAAGAAAAGATACCTTGGATGGCACATTACGCGATGCTATGGAGGCCCGCTCATGATTCTTTATCATCGATTGTAACATTCTACAATTTTATACAGACTGAGATGCCAGAATAATTCAGTCTTGACTAACCTAATCGTGCTCTTCGGTTAAAGAACCACGAAAATGGAGAATCAGAGACTATAATTAGAAACTGATGTTATGAAAGTTCGAACTTCAAAATAATATAGTTATATTACATTTACAAAAATAATGTAGTTATATTACATTTACACTAAAGTCAAACCTTTTTAATACGGATACTAAAGGGCCAGAACCAAGTGTCCGCTTTACAGAGGTGTCCGTATTATGGAGATAGGGAATGTATGATTTTGGCTTTTCGGGAACCAAACGAACTCTCCGTATTATAGAGGTGTCCGTAAGGAGAGGTTAGACTGTATCTGCTTAATCTGCAGCCATCCGTAGCTAAAGGAAGTTATCGACAGATGACGTAAATATCCTTAGACCGATTAAAGTTTGGCAAAATATATTTTTTTTATCTTTTAAAAACTGGATAAAAAGTATGATCATCTGAAGAGAGCTGTGAAGCATTTTATGGCTTACGGAGTCAAGTGGTTCATCACTACTCTTACTAGGCACCATGTCTACTGTTATGATGCAGTTCGATATGCAAAAGCTCTAACCAGCTGCTACGAATTCGGAAACCAAGAAGCATAGTGTTAAGAACCTTTTGAATAGTAGATTCACTTTTCGATTGTGGCAAATTCTCGTTATTCTGTTCGTAATGACAATCATTATTACTGTCACTCGTATTCTGGCCGCAAGGTTTGGTCCAGGGAGCCCATGCTACAAAATTTCTGGCAAAGAACATGAAAGAAACCAGTGGTGTATTCCCAGCAACTAAGGAGGATAGAGGTAACCTAACTTTCCTCCCACTTCAACACTTAGCGTTTAGTGCTCCAATGCTGCGCTCTTCTAGATTATTGAATTTAAGTAAGGGTTGCATTGTGCAAGCCATTTCATTCCTAAAACTACGAGCGAATTAAATTAATTCATCCAGTGTTCAATGAAATGCCTTAGCAAGATATATAACCTTAAAAGAAAACCTCCTAAGGTCAGGATTTAGTAACAAAATGTCGTCTTATGTTGACTTCTTTATTTTGGTTGTAACGTTATTCAAAAATCCAGCTCTGATATATATTTTTCCCACCCTTGCGGCTAACAGAAATCTGATAAAAAAGGATATATTTTAAAAGCTAACGGCTTTCATTTTTCAGCTTTAAAGCCCTACGACTAAATTTGTTGTAGTTCTACAGCGAACAGTTCACTCTATTACTCTGAAAACCTCCTGTTGTTTTGGGGTTTCTTGAGTGGAACATTGGCTTCCTGTGCAAAAGCCAACTGTGTTTAATATTTATCCTTTTGAAAAAAAAGAAACACCTTGTTTTTATCAGCGAAAACTAGGTAGTAGTTACTCTTTCTTCTTTCACTTTTCCATAAAAGTAAAAAACACATTTTGCGCATTTTTTTGTTTAACCGTATAATTTTAACTAAAGTGGGTGCCCTGTGTTAAAAGCTCAAAATGTTTAACGCCTAATTTTGACATGTTCCGCCGAACGGATTTTGGCGGATTTTTAGTATGTTGCCAGATAGGCCACCCCCTACTTAAATGGCGTTGAAAGCAATTCTGTTGCGATCAGTTTGATGTTGAGTCTCGAAAATGCCTAGATTGACTGGACTAAAGCCCTCGGCTCTTTCGGCTTTCTCCCTCTTCGAGGAGCAGGCACAGGCTTTGTTGTCGTACTGCCACTTCCACTCATTTTTAATCCCTCACTATACATACTACTTTTCACTATATACACTACATTCCACAGAGAAGCAACGCTAAAAACTGCTTTAGAATTACTGGATTACAGCGTCAAGATTCGAAGCCAAATGCAGAAAATAACACGCGCTTTTCTCCCTCGAAATCAATCACCGAGTGTATCAAATTCACAAAGAGGGCGGAGTTGTGAACAGATTTTTGACAGCTCGACGACATTTTTGAACCCCCTGGTCGGAGCGAACTCATTGTATGGAAAAAGGACAGTCGGTTTTTTTCTCTCTCGCCAAACGCGCCCTACGAGCGTGTAAAGCTCGCGCGAGTAAGACTCTTACGCCACGCTTTACCAATTTCTTTACTGATTTTAAGAAAAAAAACCCGACTATTTTGCAGTCTACAGGAAGCAAGAAATAAATAAATAAAGCCCGCACTTATTAAATAAGCAACGGGCTATGAAGCCCTTCAACACAAATATTTTGGAAACGATGCGCCTCTCCTCATAGTAAATATGGCAGCCGAGCCATTCTTGGTTGCATTTCTAGTCAATTTAGAAGACCTGAATTCCAATATTACTTGGAGCGCATGCTCCCTTACTACGCTTGCATTTACGCTTAGGTGTTAATTAAGGTTACGCCTCACAGCTCTTAACTAACTCGCGGTCAGCCTGTGTAATTGAACTTTCTAGGATCGTATCATGCCTTTGAGGTGATCGTTGACCCCAGGAAAAAAAAAGGCGGCTCAGTTTTTAATATGAGAATTTATTTCTTTTGTTTAACTTAGAAATAATAGGCAACTTTGAAACAATATGCAACTTTGATGTTTCAATGTGCGGTTTCGTGCAAGGCATTGATGACACGTTTGACTGGACTCGACACCAGGGAAGCACATCTTCTACCGATACCGGACCTTCCTTTGATCACACCACTGGAAACTTGACCGGTGAGCTCTAAACTAATTCATCAGTACATCTAGCCAGTCCTACTATTGGCAACGAGAACTGTAATAACGTATAGCAAATTTAACAGTCAGTTGGTCGGCATTTCTACTTCATTTTTAGCATGAAAATATCGCTAGTTTTAGTCTTGCAAATTTAATTACATGTCACTCTTTTCTACCCCTTTTTTGTTGTTGTTGTTTTCTTAGATTAAACTGCTCGTTTTAGTTTCTTTTTTTGTTTCTTGTACGTTGCACAGGTGTATTAAATGTAGGCGAGAGTATCTAATTTCGACTGCCGCTTCGGACCGGTGCAACTCCAAGGTTGCAGTTACTCTTTACATTCTGGGCTTTGCTGTCATTTGCCCTCTTATTCTACCATGAATAAGCGTCTTCCTTCAAAGAAAAAAATAAAACGAATAAAAGGAAACTTGGGAGTTACTAATAGGTACTTCAGATGATCATTCAACGTCATTTATGCTGAACCAACGTTGTTAGAATACTGTTTTAAGTCAACTGGATACAGTCAATGCAACTCCCTTTATTGCGGACACTGTAGGGACCTCGAGTAAGTGTCCTTATTAGCGAGAGTCCGTAATAGCGGGAGTTTATTTCAGTCAAACATCTCTAATTTGTTTTTTCCTGGGATTTAGCTGCTGTCCTTTTTATCGCGGTGTCAGTTATAGCGGGGTGTCCGCAAGGCGAGAGTTGACTGTACTTTTTCAGTGCCTTTTGGTCAATTTTTTTTCTTGTTGCCTTCCTTACATCTTTTCCTCTTTGTAGGTTATTACATGTGCATTTTTTAGAAATATTTAGTCCACAAGAGAGAGCTGGATGATATGACAAAACTGGACCGTCCTCTACCGAAAAAGACTAAGTTGCTACTCTCTAACCATCTTCATCCCTATAAGGTTATTACATGTATATAGAAGCATCCAGTCCAAGACAACCAGGTGATAACGCAAAATTGTACAGTCCTCCACTGGAATTCTTTGGGAATATGTGCCTTCAGTTCTATTACCATATGTATGGTGCAACTACTGGAAACCTGAGTGTCACCGTAAGTGGGAACTTAGTGTTCTCTGCACGTGGTGATAAAAGAGGCATTTGGCGTAAAGCCAGCGTAAATGTATCAGCTATCGAGGGATTGCATAGGGTAAGCCATGCGTTATTTTTTTCTAACAACAACAATAACAACAACCGAATCTTTATTTTTATCAACTCATTGCTTAACAATAAATTAGGATAATGAAAATATTGAAAGTAAAATTAGAATTTAAACTTTAATGACCCCATCAATGGTGATAAAACGCTGTTTCTGAGAGCGGTAACTGGGGAAGCCAACCAGGTTGGAAGCCATAAGCCACCAATTGCTCACTTTTTTTGTTAATTTAATTGCCATTAAAGTACAGCAGCGGGTCATGGAATTTTTCAGTAAAGGGTTCCGAACTTTTGCTCACCGTTGAAAGTATGTTACAACTGATAGTTTTCACCGATGCTGGCCATTATTCGCTGTTATTTAGTTAAATTTATATTAACTACGTAGATTCCTATCTGCGATCCTTAAGTGGTAGTAATTTTAGTTTTACTGAAAGCACCCTCAATAACAAGACTTTTCTGGTCTGAAGGGTGCGCAGGTCCACCATCCAGAAGACGTCTTTCGGTTCTCGGGTCTATGTTCTCCGAATCCTACTTTAGCCATAAGTTTCTGTACTTCGGTCTGTAATGAAAAGCTAAAAAAGTCGACAAGACTGAATCCGTTATAATGCTTCATCTTTACCATTAATTATAAATTAAGCACACATGAAATATAAGTGATGTACCATTTGGTAACATCATTTAGTCATAGCAAGATTATTCTTTCTTACTCATAGTGGTGCAAGTAAGTCCGTAAATGTAGTGCAAAAATATGATGCGCTTGGTGTTTCCAAGAGGATCTGTTTTGCTATTAGCCGACATTTCCCTATTTCTATTGTTAAGTTTCTAGTTTTTTGACAAATTCGAAGATAATTTTTCATTAATTTCAAGACATTAATAACAACAGCGACTCTTCCGGACTGATTGCACCTTTGACAGGTAACATTTGAAGGCGTAGTGGGAAGCAGTTACACTGGTGACATAGCAATTGACGACTTCTCCTTGACAGCAGGGTCATGTCCTTATGGTAAGTTTTTTGACTAAAGGGTGCACTGTCACCTATTTTGAAATTTTAAAAAAGACGTCTTTGCAAATTTTGAGAGCGTGAAGGGGGGCCGGGGCACTTGATAAGCAAATAGACGAGATGTTACAGGGCTCTGTTTTTTTTTTAATTCTCCCCGCCGGTGACGGGCCTTTTCAGTTGTTGCTTCACCTACTTCGACTACAACTATTGGCGAACTTAAAAGCTGTTTTTATATACACAGTCCGTAGTCCGTGTTTTATACTCAGTCCGTAGTTTCTAGTCTGCTTTTTATACCTCGTCCGTGTTTTATAAACAGTCCACAGTCCGTGGTCCGCAGTCTGCAGTTCGTGTTTTATACTGACCGGTTCGATGAGTTCGATAAAGTTCGATTACCGAACAGTTTGAGTGGTTACGTCCACAATTAAGAGGCAATGTCCCTAAAAGCGTTCCACTCGATTTCAGACTCGAAAACACTTTTGCCTTATATTTATATCATCAATACCACTGTCCATCCTTGTAACTAAATTGCAGTTAGAATGACGAAATAGTTTATTTTACTGTCATTCTCAGCATTTCATCTCTGAAATGCTGATCGTTACCGGCTAAAATATGCAAATTTTAGACGCTGTTATTCAGCTTTTTTAACGATCGTTAAAAGCTACTACGGGCCGTTAAAACCTAGACCATTTGCGCTCATTTGGAAGTATATTGTTTCTACTTACTGTTTCAATACGATTTAGTCGTATCTCCCTGTAATCAGCAAAAACAGGTTATCTTTATTCTCGTAATTCAATTGTTAGTAAGAAAACTGCACCAAAATATGCCTCAGGAACTTCATAAAATTCTTAAAAGTGGCACCTAACCTAGGTATCTTTTGGTTAAAGATAAAGAGGTATTCTATCAATTTATGCAATAAAACTTGTGGCACAACGCGATTCAGACTTGAAGGTTTCGAATCAAACTTGCATATTGATGCAGAATTCGCCTTGCGTGACACCGGCTGTTTTGACAGTAAATTTCTCCAAATAGTTGCCGCTCTGAGATAAAATATGTTTTTTTAACCGAAAAAAAATTATTTTTCTTCCTCTTCTTCCTTTTTCAATAAATATATCTTCAGAAATATATTCCTAAAGTTCAGCAGCCAAACCTTTTTACATTTTAATTTACTAAATAAATCGTTTTATTGCTACCTTACCGTTATGTGACACGATTTGGTGGGTTCATTCGAAGCATAGTCAGGGCGAGACTTAGAAAAGGACCAGAAAGTCAGTCATCGCATTTGCTTGTTGCAATATTTTGTTATAATTATTGATGTTATTAAGCTTGAAAATAATAAAAAATGCTATTAGGCAACTTTTTTTTCTACTTTATTTACAGGAAAACTGAACGGAAGTATACACCATTAATTTTGCTTACCTTTGCCACTAACCTTTGTTAGTCTCGCCCTTCCGTACGTTCTTTATTCGACATACAACAGTTGCGTTTTTAAGGAACATTTTCTTTTTTTACAGATAAAATTAAGTGTTTACATTTTACAGCGAGCAGGTCCTTCGCGAATTGACCTTTACGCTGTATGGGACGAGAGTACACGGTAATCCTTAAAGATAAATTGTGAAAATGAGGATTGTACCCTAAATCGAAAACCAGAATAGGCTGTCTATTCACGTCTACTCCACGTTTTAATTACGTGTTTATGAATTCCCATCACGACTAAACTGATTGCTGTTTTCGCTTCAAAACGGAGAAATGTGTACAGTCGATGTCTAGATACCTCAACTTAAGCAACTTTAGTAATAGTAGGTCATCAACCACCCACTAATCGCAAATATGATAGGCCGTACTAGCCTACACGTTGTCAATAGCTTAGGTTCGATAAATGAAAATTCTAGCATGAGTCTTTATGGTCATATTTCAGTCTGTATTTGGTTTGTTATTCTTTGTGCTTTAGTCTTTTCTGGGAATTCCGAGACAGTCTGGAACGTTTGAGAAGGAAGCCTTAAATTCAAGTTGGAATTTTGATATATCGAACTTTGGTTATTCCGTTATGAACAGTGAGTGAAGTGAGCTTGACAGTATTCGATTGGCGGACTTATAAGAAAACAATTAGATTATTTAAATATTTCATCGAACTAAGCGTCACCGTTTCATGCCATCGCGTAAAAGTCACATAACAATTTTTTTTTTTTTTTCACAAAAAAAGCTTAATTCATTCAGTTACAAGAAGAAATATTGTTGTCCCTTTTGTTTGATAAAAGGGACAGTCGACTCTTTTTAGCAGTTGCATTCTTAACAACATAATAAGGTCTGTCTTTCTATCTTTTGCTCGGAAAGGTATTTCAAAATGCCGAAGAATAATCTTGAGCATTGCAACATTGAAGGCCTGTAGCTTTCCTTCCTTGTGATAGGCGCAAAGATCATATGTGTCATATACTATCGAATGCTCTAGTCCAATTCTGCTTTGAATATCGTCAAGCAAATTGTTGCGACCAGATTCTCCAATGAGGGCGTCCATGTCGTCATTCTCATCTGCGGTAATATCAAATGTCTCTTCCTTTTATATAGCATCCTGACCGCGAGTCCTCTGACGTGAAGCGAGGCGTGAAAAAAAAAAAAAAAAAACATTATCTGGGTCTTGGTGAGCCACTCCTCTCTTTGAAACAATCTTTCATTCCGTTCATTTCTGGCATTGCGCATTTGACGTTCGATCTCTTCTAGATTGGCTTTTTTGCCCGTTCTTTCTCCCATTTCAAACCTTGTTGTAAGGTACCGTCTCACGTTCTCAGAATAACGAACTCCGCCAGTTCTACCTTGTTAAGAGCCCATCCGATACTTAAACGAGAGTTTGTGCTGTTAACAGTCAGACCAGTGGAGGATTTGTTGCTTGTTAACTTCTGGTTCTCAATAGAAGAACATTTTTCAGCCCAGTTTTTCCGTACTTTGTCATAAAGACTTCCCGACTTCCTAGTATCATGTATTCCTACGTCTGTATGCAACTCAAGTTCGGAGAAAGAGTCAAAAGTGCAATTACAGCCTTCTTCAGGGCACACAAACATCGATGGCTGATCATCAATTTCAACGTCGTCTTTACTTGCTTGACACTTTCTTGGGCGATGAGGGTCTCTTATTTCTGTGTTGGTGAAGAATCCATTTCCCTCCATTAATGATATATTTGTGCAACCCTGGTGCCGTATGTACAAAGATTGCCAAGGGATAAGCCTGCCGACCCCAACAGCGTAAGCTTTCCATACTCTTATCTCACTCTCTTCGTATCTAAAGTTGTGCAACTCACTAAATTGTTTTATCTTCTGAAAAAGCACCCTGTCACAAACAACCTTTCCTTGCTGGGGTTCTGAAAAATCATAACGTGCAACTGTAATTCCCACTCGATCTCCAATATCTTTGACTGCTGCTGATTGCAACGGTAGCAGCCAGCCTCGTCAGAACGTAGAAATGTCTGCTTAACATTTGGAAAATTCACTTTGATGTTTTGAAAAAGGTTTTCTAAAATAGATACAACCGCATACCAATCTTGACAACACGAATCTAATAAATGGGCATACGACAGGACCTTAGCTTTCTGAGTTTCTTGGTCTTTTGAGATCACACAGCTTATATGCTAGCTAAGGCCTCTTTTAGCAAACCATTCACTTTGTTTTTCTCTGTATTTCATTTGAGGAAATTTCATCGCCCAGTCAATAACAACAAGGACTGATTGGAGGGCTTCTTGTTCAGCAGATTCTTGGTTAACAGAGCGTAAGGCATGAGATTTCCAAAGAAAAATGCCATTCTTTGATCTTTCAAAATCGTAAAGAAGACCATGCTTTTGTTCTTGGCTGTAAAGATGGCTGGAGTGTTTCTTTATACTTTCTTCCATCTCGTCCAACGTTGCCTTCAATTGTTCGCATTGTTCACACAACATATTGTGTGAGTGTAAGCACTGATGGTTGAAGCATGGATCAGCTGGATCGCTTAACGCAAATTTTCTGCAGTGGTCTGGGCACTCACTCTCCTATGCTGAACAGTTCACTTTAGACTCCGTCTTCACGTATCTTTTGCTTTCGTTCAATCTCTTTGCCAGTTCTGTAACTCTTCTTTTGTCGGCACGAGCCTGATTCAGCTCTTCTAGAATACTCAATAGCCGCTCAAAAGATGCGACCCCTTCTGCTGCAATGTTGTCCAGACCACTGAGAGACTTCTGCTGTGAAGCCTCTCTCACTTCAAGAATGCGAAAAAGGGTTGAGCGGCTAGCCGGTTCAAATGATTCTTCTTTGCAATGTTGAAGGTACTACATAATCATGGTCGATCTAGTCACGGTCCGGATTACGTTTGGCATTGTTATTTTGCCTCCCCCATCTAAGGTCAGTGTTCGCGTTCCAAAGGCGACGTCTTGGTAGAAATAAGGACGGTTTACAAAATCTATAAAGTTGTCGACTTTGCTTGTGTCCAGACGTACTCAATGGCTGAATACTTTCGGGACATTCGACCCAGGCCCTCGTTTCCTTGCATGTAATCTCGCTCTTTTTATTTGTCTCAAACTTATCTTTTCATAAGGCTCGTGGAATTTCTGTAACAGCTTCATGGTATACCGATAAACGTAGATGCTGAGCATTTGAATCTTAACATTCTTTGTCATGGCATCTCCATATGCAGACATCAAAGCAATAAGATCCTCCGTTGGTTCATCAAGATCGTTTTCGGTAGGCTGGCGTATCGCTTGAAAAAGCTTTTCGCCTTCTTTCGGAGCTATAACACTACAGATTACTTCACATGCTTTCGTTGCTTTCTCTATGCAAGTTTTTCTTTCATCCGGTATTGCTTCCTCCCATGTCGTGGATAGTTGGAATGTTAGTGGCGTGAGGTCTTCCCTTTTTGAATGTCTAGCTATTTTCGCCATTCCCTCGTTGAAATCAGCAACGTCGTCATCGGATACCTCGGGAATTTCGTCTGTATGTACGTCTTCCTGCGAACTACCACTTCCAATCCCACTCCAACATCGAGGCGTCCAGTTAGCGTCTGCTAGCCTGTCTGTTTGAGGGGTATCAGGCGCGAAAGTTTCTTTTAGCAGCCAGGTAGAATAAAAGGCGTCTTTAAAATTTGTTTTGTCAATACTGCACTACAGTTCGCCAAGAGTTTGAAACAGAACATTTTGACACTTTTGGAAAGTGACAGATCTTAAGTAAACCGACATACGTTATGTACGCAATATTTTATCACCCTTGATAAAGTGCCGCCACTATTTAAGCCCGCCGCGAAAGCAAAAAATTGCAACCCGAAAATGACACTCTTCCTAAAACAATGTTGGAAACTTATTTTTCTGCCTAGCACCGTTTCTTAGTTCGGAACGGCGAAAGCTAGCGAGCCCATTTTTTCCACCAAGAGGAATCATTTTTTTTTTAAAAATCTATGAGGAACTCTGACCTCAAAATAGTCGCATTCCGCAAATGGGCGCTGCAGTTGAGTCGCAAAATTGGAATGATAAATGCCGCAGCGCGTAATTTAGTAAACCCGGTGTGTACCTTTGGTCCTGAAAGGGTCCAAATGCCGGCGGATCTTTTTAAAAGTGTTTAGATGTCCCAAGACCTTTTAGGGGTTTGTTCAGATGTCAATTTTTTACATCATCAACATGGAGAATGCAGGAATCTACAAGGAGAGGTAGATAACCGCCAACAACGATCGTTTACCTGTTTCTTAAGCCGTAAGCTGCAGCACTGTGATGCGGATCGCATTCTTCTTCCTTATCAGGATCTAACTTAAGCCATTTCCTACTTTTGTCCATCACTTCCTTATGTGTGCATCTACACTCCCACATCTTGCTAAATAGAAAAGATTGATTGAAAAACTGAGTTCATCATGGTCTTGAAATTTTTATGACAACAGTAACAATTACAGTACTTCGTCATCATCATCGTCTCGTCATTATCATTATCATCAAAAATTTTTCCCTTTTCTCTTTGTCTTCTCAAAGGAAAAAAACACCCATCGTGATAAAGAATTAAGTAATTAAATTATTATACGATTTTTAATTCTTACGTGACCCTATTCCCACGGTGAGTTTAAAAACCGACTGCATGTATGTTCTTCGCAGTCTCCAAACCAATTACATGCCTTTCGTTACAATGTTTCTTTCTTGGCCCACTATGCGATGGATACTGGTAAGAACGAGGTGGCCGCCAAAATTTTCCCAGTTTATGCCGATGTTGTGGGCAAATTACCATCTGCTCCACTTGATCTTTCGTAACATCAAAATGACCTGCCCTTGACAGTATTAGGTCCGCTTCACTGAGTCCAGACTTTGATAGATGACAGATTTCAAGCTGAGTCGTAATGGTGTCCTGATATTCATTTGGGACAAACCGCGCGAACTTCCACATGTTCTTTTCTTAATTTCCCTAAAGTTGCACGATTCGAAATTCATGTTGAAGTTGTAGTATTTGCGCGTGCCAACTTGGCTTTGTGATGAGGGACAGGATAGATAAAGATAAAGATAAAGCGGAAACTTTACCACCAGCGTCACTGGACTATGTCATGCTATTTGCTATATTTTTAAAAAGGCTAAAACTTTTTTTTGCATCAATTGAATTCCAAAAATGATGGTCCAGTTTTGTGATTTAGGACTATAGTTTGATATTGATATTGACATTGTTTCCCGTCGTCGTCACATGACATACAGTAGCCAGATGAGTACATGACAGATTCAGATACGTAAGGTGACGAAGAAGATGACTTTGAAGTAGTTCATAGCAGGACATGCATGACCAGGTCGGGAAGATCAGTACGTGACTGGTACGTCTGTATCTATGAGGCCGGTGTCATTTCATGGTGATGCGACTAAATCTGTTTTTTTATTATTTGTACTTACAGCAACAATCATTTAATAGGAGCCTTTATAGCAATCGTTTAGCCATTTTTACTTCTTCGGTTAGATAATTGCTCTCTTCTGAGTCAGTGTTAATTAAGTCATCTAAGTATCACTTAAGAAGTATGGATTTTCATATACCCAGATTTAATACTTTACATTAAGGGAAGCATTCTATGAGGTACTATGGACCATATATATGGTCTAGATTGGACAGCAAAGTCAAAGACAAACCTATAGCTTACAGTCTTTTAAGTCCAGCATAAGGCGCATTAACCTTGTAGATCTTATAAGTGACAATTGTCGTTCCTGTGTAATTTGTGGTCCGTCAGGTATTAGATCTGCTATAATAATAGCTAACCAAAATTAGTATAGTTATCTAAGAATTGGCCAAAAAGATAGTAGTTAACTGATATTTGGCCGAAAGATTAGTAGTTATCTGAGAATTGGGTACCCCCATTAGCACCGTCTTACAATGCCGCTCTGGAGGCATGGTCCCCCCACAGATAAATTGTTAGAAATTGGATTGTCTATTATAAGTTGTATTCCATGCGTACGCTTTGAGTGCAATTATATCAGACAACTAAAGTTAATACAGATGTTGCTGGTAAAAAGGCAGAATCTTACGTGAGAGGACACGCAGGATTTTTGCTGGAAGTACAATCTCACGCAGAGTTGTAAGAAGAATAATATTGTAAGCTTTGTCGGAAGCTAATGCGACTTAATCCCATTTAATATGTCGCGCTCCTCGAAAGTGCTTAATTTTTCTTTTCGTGTATTAATATATTTACGTTTTATTTGAATTCAAACATACAGAATTTTTTCTCTCACGGAGGTTATTTGCTAAACATCACACCATAAGTTCCTGGTGTTGGATTTTCAGTAGCAGGTCTAGATCGGGCAAAATTCGGATTTTATCGATTTTGAAGTTTTTTGTTCATTGTTGTCATAATGATATTGATTTTACTAAAAACTGCATTTTGACAAACTTCATTTCGTAGGCAATCACTGGTGAAAAGTTTGTAGCAATCGAACAAGGATAAAATCACTTTTAAGGCGATTGAAAAACATCGGTATGGTCTCCGAAAAACTGTATCGAAACACCTTAAGGCTGCACTATAGGTGACACACCCATGGGTGCAGTGTAATCCAGTGATTCTCCAGGTAGAGCTACATAACAAAAATATCGGCTACACTTAGGTCTCTTTTCTCTTTTCGTGGCCGTTAAACTGAAACCAGAGATCGTCTCCCAAGGGGAGTTAATAGTTAACTTGAGATGTAACAGTGGCGTCCGACGCGCCAGACAAACAACCATTTGATACCAGCAATATTTACCGTCTCTGATGGGATTCAAAATCCCTTCCAAAACGACTCATGAACACAGGGACACTCCAGGTAAATACATCCTTTTATTTCATTAGCTAATACAGCGTAGATAATTAACAATTATTCCACGAGGGCGCGTTGGATATGAGTTGGCTATTATAATCATCTCATATCCAACAAGCACGAGTGGAACAATTGGTGTATCAAAAACGCCCACAAAATCTCGTTGAATCTCCCCAACTTAATTTTGTTAGAACAAACCGGAAAAGACAAGGGACTTCCGCTATTCACAAGTCACACGTCTATCAAAACTGTCAACGCGCGAACGGACTCGCCTGGACTGGATAAATGAAAAATCAAAACATTGTAGCGATGAACACTTTTAAAAACTCATCGGGATTCTAGGATTTTACACAGCAGGCCAGCTAAAAAAACGATTATGTGAAGAAAAAGAATTTTTAAGTGACAGCCGTCGAAATTACTGTGAATTTGGATTTTCGGTGCAGTTACAAAAGTAAGAACAACGGAGAAAAACTATTACCTCGGTCGCTTGTTATTAACAAATGACAACAACATAAGCTTAAAACGTTTTGTACATAGAAATTCACCATTAGACGGGACTGTTCGATCAGGTCATTCTGCTGTTATGTAGTATGCAAGGGTAATAATTAGCTTGAGAAACTATATAATAGGAACAGGTCTCGGAGTCATTTTCGTTTGTATTTTGCTTCTAAAACACCAAATTATATGATACACGGTAAGCGGTATTTTGAGTACACCTGTGGTATGCGATGTTCAGGTACGACTGAAATTAAAGCAACAAACGCCAAAGCGATGAGAAAGGGATCTCAACAAACAATCAAGACAAGAAATATAATTCAATGAAAAATTTAACTCAACTGCTGTGTTGCCGTTGATGACTGAGCATCATCAAGAAATAAATCAAGACCAACTGATGCTATATTTTTAGATTTCTCAAAAGCGTTTGACTCTGTGCCTCACGAACGGCTGTTCCTCGGCTCAAATTAAAATGTCACGGGGTCGAAGGCTCATTACTGCGTTGCTTTAGAAGCTTTCTGACTGACCGCAAACAACGTGTTGTTGTTCGAGGCACCCACTTATCCTGGTCTTGTGTAACGTTGGACGTTCCCCAAGGGACGATCCTGGGCCCAATTTTATTTGTAATTTACGTCAATGACATATCTTCTAACATCTCTTCGACATTAAGGATGTTTCCGGACGACACCAAGGTATACAGAGAACTGTCAAACATAGCAAGGGACATTGAAGCCCGATAAAATTTGATGTCGATCAGTTACTATCCTGGGCATCTAAATGGCAACTACGCTTTAGTCCCGTTAAATGCGAGGTTTTATAACGCACGAACGAGACCTCTCCCTCCCTACATACTCGTTGGGTACGAGCCTTAAAAGCGTAAAGTGCATCAAGGATTTGGGCATTACGGTGTTATACGAATCTTTATCTTTTTATTAAGGGAGACATCATAGGGTCAACCTCCAGTTTTCCTTTTCAAGATGTTTTTATAATTTTGAGTTCATCATCTTGAATAAATCCGTTGTTATGTTATGTTATGTTATGTTATGTTAAAAGACAACAATTTTCATTCACCAAGACATGTATTGAGAGAGTGAAGTGTTTCTTCGAAAATCCTTGGGTCATGAATAAAACCTCGTTCAGATTTAAGCTTGAGGTAATACCCTTGAAGTTGTTCTACTATAAAACTTTTTTTAAAACTTGGCATAATCAACATTCATGATATGAACATTAAAAAAAGGCAATAAAAAGATGGGGTCACCATGCTTGTTTACGCGTCAACAGGCTCTTAAACTGGGGTATTTTTACTTGTTGCGCGTTAAAAATTCGAATCCCCTTCTTACAGAGTTAAGTCTTTGTTACTTAAAACACACAAAATTTTATCTTGAACATAAAACTTCTTTTATTCAAATAAGCAGTATTGCTTCATTTAATTCGTTTTTGATTGCCTGGTTGTGGGGATAATGCACTTTTTCGGACAGTTCCGTAGTTAGCTTGAAGTCCTCGCCTTGACCCAAATACACCAAATGCGAAACTATTTTCCCCAAAAAAATCATGTTCTAATCAAACTTTTTTTCTTCCTCAAATATGCTATTTATTAGACTGTTCTCAGCAAATACCTGTGAAAAAAATCGGGGGGTCACCTTGCTTGTTTCCTTACGAACTGCTGTGAAAGGTGGACATGGTTTTGAGATCGCAGTCAGGATAGATAATTTGTGCGGCGGGGACTGGGGCGAGATACAAAATAACGTCCATCGTGTTCGTAGTATGCACTCGAGAACAACCTTAATTGTTTTCGGTTGTTTTTATGTGTTTGATATCGCCAACATAGAAATTCAAACTTGAAAAGAGTACATTAAATACCAAGGAATGAGGTAAGTCAAGATTTGATGAGATTTTGGAGTTATGAATCTTTATTTTGGACTATTTTGTAGCGCCGGCGTTCTGTTTAATTCCAGTGAGCTAGGGTTCGATTTTTTTGCTTTTGCACAATAATGCTTGACGAAGAAACTTGAGGAAAAGACTATTGATTCCTGTTTCTTCATATGTTCGCTTTTTTGGTTTCTATACAC